ACTAAAACAAGTATATTTTTATTTTATTCATAAAATATTTTGCTACCTAAGACACTTTCAATTCAAACCTTGAAATTCGCTGCGGTGTCTCATAAAGTGTTTTCCATTTTTATTTTTTAAAATTATTGTATGCACGTGACCCGCACTCGCTTTGAGTTGTGCATGTCATGCAGCGCACGAAAAGTGGAACACACTCGCACATACTGGTATGTTTAAGTATGTGAGGGCTTGTATACATACATATATGGTTATAATAAATATATGTGCATATTTGTACCAAAATAATGAATTTTACAACAGTTCGTTTGTTTCTTATAATATTTCATATTACTCAGTTTCTTTTTACTAAAATCAAACTTCGGCCTGCTTAGTCATTTCCTGTGTAAACAATCTCACAGTTACTCAGTTTGTGGTTTCCACATTATTAAATTTTTATGCGTTTCGCGTACGTTTTCATAATAGACATATCAACTGCTCTAATAAAGTGGAAACCTTAAAGGAAAAAAAAAAAAACTGCACAAAATGTACTCACTTTCATTTAGTACAACCAACATGCTATTTATCCACTCTGTCTGCGGCAAGTAACTCGACATTTTAGTGGTTATAAGTGTTTAATTATATGTGGCGGAATGCAAATTTATGGTGGCATGTGCATTCATGTGTGTAGTGTGGCATTCCACACATCACACTTTGAACAAAATGCAAATTAGCTGGCACTTAAGAATGTGGAATGCAAGCAGCCAAATAAATAAAGCTAATGTGATAAAATAAAAAATTTCAAAAAGTTAAGTGTTTGCAAATATATTTTCTTATGGTAACAGAAAAGAAATAATCTTGTAATTAAATGGTATTGTTTACTTTGAAGTCCTAAAAGAGGAATTTTCATTAAATATTGCTACAATTTTGATACATGCTTTATACTTGTATGCTTTGCACATATTTCTGGAATAGATATTTCATATAAAGTTAGACTAAACATAACAGTATGTGGCTTATACAGTAAACTTCTTTAAAATTTTAAATTGAAATCTATTTGTGTGTTTTGTCATTGTGCTCACCTTGTCAGTCAGATTGAGAACGATAACATGTCTTGGCCGCCCATTCAATAAAATTTTTTTTATGCAAACCAATTTTGAAATCGCAATTCTCTTAGAAAATGACATCCTTCTCAGGATATGTACTATTATACGATTTTTCGGAAAACGTCAACTCAAATAATTTTTATAGTATTAACAAAGTAATAGTATGCCTTTTAGATGAATTTTCTCTTTCCTTGCATTTAAAATTTTAAGAAAGAAGACAACATTTTCGACCTGCTTGATTTGACCAAAATCCAAATAAAAATTGATATTTGTCAACTTTTAGTCTCAGGCATCCATTATTTCATTAGAAATTGGTCCTCGTCTTTAAGCAGCTGCAGAGGTTATAATCGAATAGTTACGTGCTAACTGGAATAACTTAGTTCATTGCTAGGTCACAGTTATTGTAATTAAATGTTTTGTTAACTATTTTATTCAGCGCTTATTCTCATATCATTTATATACCTATGAGACATTCAAGGATAATTCTTTCTTTTTAGAATTCAAATTTATCAAAGTCAAGCTAGATTCAAACAAATTGGATATACATATGTATTATTTAAAATTTTTTAAATATCAGCTATTAGTTGGTTATAGTTGTACTCTGAGACTATTATAATTTTATATTTATTTTAGGTCTAACTCAGGAAAGTCTAATAAGCAGAACTTTAAACGATCAAAATATTGAATATAATCCTTTTGTATGAGCACCAATACTACATAAGATACAAATCAACACCTTCAACTACTTTGTTACCTAAAAGGATTCTAAGCGGTAGATAAACTCAGCAAACACTTCCTCTAACACCGAATAAAAATAAGCCACTACTTCCCACTAACCTAATTAGTTTGCATTTCATGACAAATTCACCGCATTTTCTGGCAACATTGCAACATTTCACATAAATATGCAATAATAGGCACTAATCTACTAATGCACCCAATTAAAGCAAATAAGAGATTCTAACAACGCACTTACCTATAAGTCTTCAAATATAGCTAAAGATAACGGGGCGATAAATGATAGCGCTGAGTGCCCATCGAATACCGAATCAAAGCAAAACTCGTTCGGCTAATTGTGTGTTAAATGAGTCACTAATAACCACGGCCAAATGAAAACTAAAACGACACACACGCACACATCCATAGCCACATACACACAGGCAAAGAGCGAACGTCTGAAATTGGCAGCAAACATATATACAAAAGTCAGAATATTTGCACAATACATGTACAGTGCGTACATAGCTGCGCGTGTGTTGCGCCACAAGATTCCAATTAATAAATACATAAATGAACAACACGCACCAAATGCGGTCGCGCTGAAATTAACAATTCAAGTCTATCTCTATCATCTTTCTGCCGCTGTTTTGTTGCTACCGATGTTGCGGCGCGCCGCCAAGACGACAGCGGAGACAGTAACGCACATTGTCAACATACAACGACAACAACAGCGGCACAGTGACAGCGACCAAATCAAAGTTAAGGTTCGACAAAGCTGTGGCAGAGCAAAGCAGGCGCAAGTTCTGGAAACATCCCTGAGACGATGCTAATTTTTCTTGAAAGTTTGTCGCCTTTTTCATCGTGTCTATGTGGTTTATGTTATCAACGTTCCTGGAAATTACAGCCACGATCTGTTACCAATTAAACTCTGCTGCTGCTAATACCAGAAGCGACTTATTAGCCTGTGTTGTTGTACTCATAGGGATGAGTTTCTCTTCATTTATTCCTTTCTTACTATATTTTCTTTATTTTTATCGTCTGTGGCAACCAGAAATGGTTTAAAGTAGACAGTTCATATGACAGCGACGCAGAAGGTCTAGTTTTATATACAAAGAACTATATATATTACGGTGGAGCGAAAAATTTGTTTGCTCACGAAAAACGAAAATTTACTTTAAACTGAGTGTGTTTTTGCCCAGTAAATTCTCCTTCTTTATAATCTACAGATTGTACCCCAGACTGCTGAAATTTTTCATTCCATCCTATCATATATAGATGTATCTGCATGGGCACGTATATGTGTAAATATGCGAGCTAAACTTGTTTTTGCATTCGCTTTGAAAATAATCAAACACTTGGCAGAATTGCATATACAACATTCTACAGTTTAGAAACAGCTTAGAGATTTCAAATAGTTTGTCCCGTTCATGGGCTTAAGTTAGTCTGCTTAGTTGAAGGAATATTGAATAGACGCGTTTTTATTTCGCTTTTACTTTTTACATGCGCCTGGCGTTGTCGTCTTAGTAGCTAAGTAGTCTTCCATCCAAATTGCAGCGCAAACCAAATAAAGGTACTGCCATCATCATCTATTTAGCTTATTGGCATTTGCTGGCATTCTTCCAAACACTTAGCTATGACTTGATTCTGTTGTTAATGTGCGTCGAGTGTTGTGGTCCAACACCAGCGAACAATGGAGAAAGGATGTGAATACTGGCAATGGCTCCATCAACATGGATGGAGTATGAAGCATGATGGTATTCGATCCTGAAACATCAAAATCCAAGAGCTTTCCTAAAGACTTGCCCAGAATCAGATTTGTCAATTTTAATTTTTATTGCGTATATTCTAACAGAGAGGCTCACTACGCTGACTGTTACTACTGACCCCGGGGATATTCAAATTTATCAAAATCATCATGTAGTTAAAATCGATGGTCCCAGGATACATCCTAGTTTGAGAGTTAGAGTAATTGTAGCAGTCAAGACACGAAGAGTTCTACTTAACCTCTAACCTCTACTGATATGCCTGGCATTATCTAAATCCACGCCCTTCGTAGAATACATCCACATCTACAGTTGATAATTTAGTGGAACATGACACTCGATGGATTTTAATTGTCTGTATTTACTGTGACAAGGAAGATACAAATTCTAAGCCGCTAAACGATTTAAAACAATCGAAAATAGTTTTTATTATTATTATTATTTATTACTAAATTTCCTGTCATAGGTTTGCCAACTAAGTAAAGTTTGGTTTTATATTTAAGTCGGAGACGCCATCTAAGTTTTTAAGAAGAACAAGTCAGATGTTAACAACTAATATAAAAAAGTTTATATAAGTTTCACACGCCATTATCAGCACTCAAATGCACCTTCATTACAATTATGTTTTATTAGCTTAAAATCCTAGGCGGTTTCCACTAAAAGTATAGCCACTGGTTCCTTCAACTAATCTCTAGACATGGTTATATATAATACAACAACATAAGATTTTTGTACATTGAGTGTACATAGTATGTCCACTTCGCAATACCATCACTCGTTGACTTATGGCCAACGTCTTACAGCGCGTCGCACTAACTTAGCAAACTTATGCGTTAAAATTCTGAAGTCCAATCCTGCTGACTTGGTCATTCTTACACTGCAACGCTGAATATTATACTTCCACTTAAGCATTTACGGCCCTTCATGCCGCACTCAACACGATTTCGCTAAGCTTGTGCCTCGTATAGCCGACAGTACTTGCAGCTGCTCTCGTTTACAAATATGGCCAGCCACGTACATTCACTTGCCATTCCGCCAAGTTAATTTATGTTAATTGCTGCAATCGGCACACATGTACTTTCACAACTGTTCATTCGCAATGCATGTTGCTTTAGCTCGCGGCCAAAAGCCTTTAGACAATGCTTCAATGCTATTGTTTGTGGTGAATGTTCTTGGCAGCTGGTGCATGACAACAGTCACTTTAAAATTTTAGACATTTTCCCGTCAGCATCTCGTTTATTGATGATGCGATTTTCTTAAGTGAAATTATTTTATTTGCCGCATTTTTCCTTGACCAACACACCAATAAAACATACACATATATACTTGCATATTGTTTTTATGGATTTTTCTAATATTTCTTCCATTTTAACTCCGTCTAAATACTTTTCTATTAATCCTTTCATTAACTTTGTTATTGTTGTTTTGTTTTTACAGAGCATCTAGTTGCCACACGGTCTTCCGCCACATTCAGCGCTGGACAAGGATGCTGGTGTTAATGGACTGTCGAGTATTTTATTGTTGAGGGCAAACAAACACAACGGAAGATGAGAAATGACAATGCCGATGGCTATGGTACATTTGCAATTTCCTTTCCCCATCAAGGGCAGGTGAGTGTTAGGAAATTACACACAAATCGGATGTGCAAATCAATATATTTTATTCTAGTTTGATGGGATGGGAAGAGTTTATAATATACATAAATATGTACATATATATGTACAGCTATATATATAACCTAACATATGCCAATTACGATGAAAATTCCTGTTGAATGCCAGTGACCGTCTCACGAAGAATTTACATAGACACTGATATTATTGGCGAATACAATACCGTAGAGTGCAATATGGTACTTGTATAATATAAAATATCTTTATAATGTAGCAAACAGCCTGAGAATTTTAATCGTTTCAAAGAAAACACTTTTTGGCAAATTTTTAACCACTTAATGCAACGATGACGGTGTATTGATTATTAGATCTTAACTTTTCAATACAATTTTGTTATACTACTGTTTCGGCAACTGACATTTAATATCGCCAAATTTGTTCTATCGACCATGCTTTAGAGAATAGGAGGAGAAAAGTCATTCTGGATAGATCGAATCCGCTGATGCAAAATATTTATCTGATTTTGAAAATATATTGAACTATAGTAATATATACATATATATTATATATCAATTCTTTCAGTACAACTTGCTACATATTAATAGGTACTCGTCTTTAAATCAATATTATCCATTCAAAATCAAAGCACATAATAAATGGTACAAAATAAAGTTCTCGAATCTTTGCAACCAATAAATGCTATTAACAGCAAATTATTTCAAACTAACAACCAAACCCAACTGAGATAAACGCAACTACAGCATTGTGGAGGATAATGCCTTGTAAATGCAGGCAATAAATCTTGTCCATTTCTATCTATAAATTCTCGAGAAAATCGCCGAATTCAAAGAAGAACACAACAATTAATAGTATATTTAAATGCAACTGCACATACCTTTTGAGAGTCATGTGTCATGCGTTGGTGGTCTCAATCATTTGGCAATTATCTACAGCTCTGATAGACAACAACTTGCTGTATGTTGTTGTTCTCTGCTACACATGCAGTGCTGCTTCGCCTATACATACACACATAATATGTTGGCCTTCCATTGTCTCTCTTTGTCAATCGATGGCAATCAATCAAATTGTGCACCAAAATCATTTATATCTGTATATGTTTACATATATATATACAATATGCGATATCCCATGCAACACACCCAAACGTAAAAATTGTTAGATTTTTGATTTCCAGCATTTATATATACAATACATATCAATACAAAATTTTAATGAAAAATAACAAACATATACATATCTACACTTTATCTCCAAGGTGACTGTCGCCAAAACGCTGGATTACGAGAAGGTGCAACGTTATTATCTAACCATCGTCGCAGCGTAAGTTAACTGATGCACTTATACATTTGCTATACATATTTATACAAACTAAATAGTTAGTTAAGTGCAATTTATTAATACGAAACATTGGTGTGCCACATAACTGGCATAGCAGAGAAACGCAGACATAGTACTACAATAATTACATACCAGAAAACAATCTTTGAGAGCTTCGGCAGAAATTTTTGTGATTATCTTTATCCTCACATACTCAACTACATATTTTCTGTAAGAAAAGTAGTTAACTCCGCACAACTTTTTCCACAATTTTTCGCCAGTTTCTACCTAAGCATCTACTCTGAACTCCTAGCAAGCAGCCTATTACAACACTTTAAATATTTTTACCTCTCACTGAACTCTGTGTGTACAATAGCTGAGCAGATATTCATAAATCGCTGGCTGTTGGAATGTTAGCGCTTCATTGCACCGCGTTGCTCCGCATTGTTTGGTGATTTCGCTGTTGAGGCTTTTGTAATTTGATAGCGACAGCTTAGACTGTCAAGCCAGTGGTGAGCCAGTGAACCCAACACGCCAAATCACACTAAAGTACATGTAGGAGTGCAGTGGAGTCTCTATGTGAAGATACTTGTAATTTTACAAGCCCTTTTTCATGCCTCTGAAGTCTTTAACATCTCATTGTTGTAAGAATGTCTTACTGCATAACATGATCGTGTAGAATGTAAACTGCTTCTTTGTTTGATGCAGAATGAGAAGCATATATATAATTATATAGAACCTGTCTCAAATTCAAGAAGCATTAGAGAGTAGCAAATCGAACAACTTAATCAACTCTTTGTATAAAAATGGCGAATCGACGATAGCCATATTGTACGCAGTTGTAAAACCAGAAAATTAAGAATAAACAAGTGTAAACATCGAAAGAATATCATTTAACTGGAACTTCTCGTTATATTTGCTGAAAAGCGACCACTCACTGACATTAGTCAAGGCTAGAATCCATCATGTGAATTTGCAACACTTTATGCAAGAAAAGCAAATTTAACTATTGGAGGTTTCTCAAGCTCTTTTCTTAAGCTCAATATATTTATTGCGATTTTGTAACATACAATTTGCCAAAAGTATAAAAAGCATTAATATCCAGACAAGGTCTACAGGATGAATAAGACAAAAGATATGTATATATAGATAATTGATACATCGGGAAAATTTTACAAAAGCCACCGGAAATTAGCAAAACACCCAGCACATCTATTCAGAAGAATTTTAAAAAATTTTTCACAATATTGGGCAAAAAATTACAATTTAAAAAGTATTATTCTTTAAAAAGTTTTGCACTAAGCGCTTAATTGTATGCTTTGAAGAAATCTTATTACTGCTTATCGTACAAAAATCCAAATATTCAAATGTTTTTCATTAAAAATAAAAGTAACATCTTATGAATGTCTTATATTTTAAATAAATAAAATAATTATTCTTCTTTTACACTTGCAACAAGCTTTTTAATAATTTTATTAAGCACAATATCTTACCTTAAACGATAGCAGAAAATGCTTTACATAGCAGGCAGTGCGACATATCGGCATGCAGTAATCATTAGCAGCCTCAAATAATATCAACACTTAAGTGTTAAATCTATACAAATAAGAATCACTAATATGGCAGTATCGCCAGCTAAGACGCCTTATGTAAGCCGGTATTATATAACTTAACTTAAGCGTGGAGTTGTTGGAGTATATGACAGCAAGGCATTAACCGAGATGGCGACGATGCTTTGTAATCATGAAGAATCGGGATAACAGCAACGAACGAAATTTAATGCAATTTATTTTTCCATTTTCTGCACAAGACTACAGAGGCTGTTAGATGAGCGGAATGCCATTCCACTCGAAGAGTCTTCAAGAATTATATGACAGTCGCTTTATGAGAACTGCTTATGGGAACAAAAATTGTGTGCGCGATGAAGCTGATCAGGTGACAAGTGCAGCTTACTTAGAATGGCAGAAATACTTGGCACGTTCAGTGAAAAAGGCGCTAGTCTATTAAAATCCAATTAAAATGGTGCGAGTTGCCGTTAAGACTGGACTGTTAGTTAGACGGATGTCAATGCATTGTAAAATATATGACTTTTACAAGCTATGTATATACGTATGTATATAAGTATTCATGTATATAAATTCGTATATGTTTAGAAGAATGCATGTGGCTGTGTGAAAATCAATCGTATTGTGGGCTGACGGTCACAACCCACTTCCTCAAACAAATTGCCAACAGGCCAACGAGTGGGCTTATTTAGCTTTGTTTTATGTTCGACTTTATATTATATAATATAACAGCTGAATAACTGTGTGTTTGACATACCTGTGCTCGATTTGCCCAGTTTATTAGCTGGTTATTAATTATTTTTTTATTTAATTTTTAAATTTTATTATACCCATTGCTTGCTCATATGTTAAAAATATGACTTTGTGCTTGTAACGGTTGTTTGTGGTGGACAACGGGACGTATGCTATGCTGACTGTGATCATATATCTCACTTGTTTGTACACTCAGTTGCAAATTTATGTTAAGTTGGTATAAGAAACGATAGTTAGCAGAAGTTAAGAAAAAAATTCCTATTAAAATTAATTACTCAATATATCAAACTTCTAACATAAACTGGATAGTTACCTGAGAAGTTGCGTCCTTAAAAATAAATATCTGAATATTATATACAAGTAGATCAAGCAAATATAACCTACTTAACTTCCTCAAAAAGTGGTTCAAAAGTAGTTCTTATGAAATGCGCGTGGCCCAGCCACTAAAAAATTCAACAAGCATATCTCCTAAGCTACTAAAGCTATATGAACCAGACCTAAAAACAGACCATATCCACTTCTTGCAAAACCGCTATGTTCGAAACTACTTAAAGAGCGATAACTTTCTGGCAGAAAGGGTAATGCTGGAGACCTGCGCGTGAATAAGTAAAATCTAATAACTCAGGAACTTCCGGACCAATGTGAACCGAATTTATTTCCATCAGCTTCACTGTACAATAGTAATTCTCACTACCATATGTGATAACTCTCAAGAAAAATGTTCTCAATTAGATTTCCTGATAATGAAAATTAGAACTCCAGTGCCTTCGGCTGACCTTAAGCCGAGATATCTGAATGAAATTTTAATTTATTTCTGAAAATATGGGGGTCCTGTGTTAAAAATTGATAATTATGATTCTATACTTTCTTCCCTCTCTTTAATCAGATATAAAATTTTTTAACAATTTGGTTGATTCTTAATATAGAGTAATATAGATATTAATTCAAGTCTTGAAATTAATTTTAGGATATTAATATGTGTTTTTGAAAATACAAAAATTACCTTAAAACACAGGCATTGTGTATAAATATCATTCCCCCTAAATGTACTTGCCAACTAGTTCCTATGCAATTATTTTACTACAATTGCACAACTTCTGGCTGACTATGAAATATTGGCTACTCAATGCATACTTTGTTGAAAAATGGTATGCACGTTTGTTCTTGTAGTAGCCAAACTATTGTACAAAAAATGTGCCAAACTAGCACACAATTTCGACAATTCGAACAGCGATAAATTGCACTTTCCGGGCGTATAGACTCATATTAATTATAACAAATTATGTTATTGTCTATAGCCGATCTTATTTCACACAAGCGGCAGCACACAAATTTTCGATTCTTTGCCAGACTTTTGGCTACTCTGTGAGTAAATAATTGGAAAATTTGCATTTTTGGATTTGAAAAAAAATTAACGAAAATTATATGGCTTAAATGTCGAACATAAAGAAACAAAATGTGTGTAGTGGCGTTGCCAGTTACTTAGCATCTAAATGAGTACAGTATTTCGCTTATCGTACTTCTAATATTTTCTTGTTGGCTGGCAAAGCTTTGCGGGTGTTGAAAACATTTTTTTTTTTTTCGTTTTTGCCTTATGGAGCGGAAAACTCTTAATCACAATCTAGATCTAATGTGTAGAAACATTGTTGCATATTTTATTATTATTATGTTTTTATTATACTCTTGCAACATGTTGCTATAAGGTATAATCGTTTTTTCAACTAACGGTTGTTTGTATAACCGAAAATTAATTGAGTTAGATATAGGGTTATATATATATATATATATATATATAATATATATATATGATAAATTATCTGGATGACGAAGCGATGGTATGTGTGGTACCTTAATAAAACCCTTGGAGCATTTTATTAATATGTGGCATGTTAGTAATATTGTCAAAAATTGATAAAATCAGAATAATACTACCCTCAACTCCCATATACTACTTATAATGATTTTCTTTACTCTAACAAGTTTAATGCCGAATATGTATATCGGTCAGTGAGTATTATTTATACATAAAATTGCTTTAAATAATAATATGCTCTCGAGAATCCCTGAGCAATGTATAAAACGTTCGGCTACACCCGCACTAAGCACTTCCGTACTTGTTTTTTTTTTTAATATTTTTGTTTTAATATTATTACCGGTAGCCACCGTCGTAGCTCTGCTCTGCCATTGTGCGCACGCGCACACAAATTTTAGCGAGATCGATAAACGGATTATTTGACTCAATGGGCATAATAAAATAATGTCGAAAACTTATTCCGTATATTAATGAAGTTAAAAATTTGGCAATTGGATTACTGTTAACATCGCCTGCCGACCATGGTAAAAACTTGAAATGAAGCACACACACAGAAACATATATCACACACAGATAACATACATATTTAGACAATATCATCGACTTCAAGTTAATTTTTTGCATAACTATAATTTTATCTCAGCATATTTACACAAAGCTTGAGTTGCTATCAGTCAGTACGTTATGGTAGCCATGTTCCGCTCGGTGTGAATTCTATGTGGGTGTATGATAACCATACAATACACAAAAGCAACAACTAAGAAATACAAATAAATTTTTTCAATATGCTGATAAGCGTTTGAGATTGGCATGGACTTGTCAGGTTTAAGCTTTATTTTCTGCGAATGCTAGTATCTGTTAATACAAGTTTC